AGGACAAACCAGGAAGATGGCCCTCACCGACACCACCTCCATGCTGGCACCCTGACCTCAGGCTGCCAGCCTCTGGCACTGCGAGGAGTAATCGCTGGTTAAGCTCCACCCCACCCCTGTCCGTGGTACCCTGCTGCAGCAGCCCGAGCTGGCGAATGGCAGACAAGGAGAGGGCTCACCTGGAGCAGGAGCAGAAGCCGCCCAGCAGCCCAAGGGACAATGCAAGAGCAGGCGGCTGGAGGGTCTCTGCCTGTGTGGGCACGCACGCCCTACTGCAGAGGAGGCCCTCTGTGGCGGGCTGTGTTCCACGCTCTCTGCATAAATGCCATCTCCCCAAGTGGTCAGAGCACCAGAGGTGAGGGTGCTCCAGGCCAGCTCACGGGTGGGAGCCCGGGCCGGCTCCTCACAGTGCACGGTAAGCCCTGCAGGGCCGGTCAGCCTGCCGCCCGCTGTGTGGCTGGAGCAGAAAGACGCACACGCCGTGTCTTGTGAGCTAGATATCTGGGCTGCAGCTTCGCTATTTATTCCCCCAGAGCCTTTAGAAAAGCAATTTTGACATTCCAGCCTTGTCTCAACATGCCATAGGAAATTCCAGAAATAACTGTCTGGGGACCCTTGGTCCAGAGTTAAAGGAGAGCAGGCCCTTCTAAGACGGGGACCAGGAGCCGGCATGAGATCCCTAGGACAGGCTGGATCCCAGGGCCTCCGGCAGGACTAAGAGCCCTCTGTCACTAGCAACCTTGGCCATGAGGCTCCCATCAAGTAGGTGACTCCTCCGCCCCCTCACACTCCAGGGCACAGCTCCGCTCTGAGCTGATGTGGCTGCTTGACTCCATGCTCTGCTCACGGCCAGGCAGGCCCTGAGCGAGATGTGCCCGTCTGTGGCTCTCTTTCCCCAAGAGGAGGATGCTCTCAATGTCCCTGGAGTGACCCAAGGAAGACTTGGGCAGCTGCAGAATAGAAGTGAGATTTCAAGAGAACCTGGGTGAAGATCATCTCATCGTGGCGTGGCCCTACTTCTGTTGCAGAGGCCGTGAACGTGGCCTATCCCGAGACTCCCAGTGTCATGAGAGCGAGGTCCCTGAGCTACTCCTTCATTCACTTTCCAACCCTACCATGGCGCCTCACCCAAAGTGGACAATCAACAGTGGTTGTGAAAGAATAAAGGGGCAGTCACAAGACGCCCATTCCTCCAGCTACGGCCAACCCTCCAGCCCCAGGAGTGACTGGCTAGGTTCCTGCAGCATGTCCATTCTGCCCCGCCCATGCTGGTGGCAGGCATCGCTAATCAATCACAGCCCTCTATGCTACTAAGCCAAGCGGAAGATTCAAAATCCCTCCCCAGGAAGTCAATCTAAGTTGTTTATCTAGAAAAGGCAGAGGTTCTTACACTTCAGGAGGCCAAGGAGAGCTTTGAGAATCTAATAAGCAGGAGTCTCTCTCTAGAATACACACAGTAGTTAAAATTTCGAGATATCCAGGGATATCTGAAGGACATGGAGGCTCAGAAGCCCCACAGCCCACCTATCCACATGCAAACTGTCACGTGCTGCCATGGCAGCATTGTTCTCACAGCTGTCACACTCTCAGCACCGTCCTCACAACCCTGTGAGAACATCAGCCCACGGATCCCACAGTCACCAGGCAGCTGAAGGACAACCCCAGGAGCCAAGCACTGAAACCCAGGCCGCCGGGGCAGCTCCAGGCTGTCATCTATTTATACACACCCTCAGCACCCAGGTTAAATCACAGCCCAGACGATGGCGTGGGGCCAGCAAGGAGTTATTACACCCTCCTAAAAGACTAAGAGGAACATGGCATCTCAGAGGGCCTCTTCCAAATGAGGTCCAGAGGGGACACGGCGTACAGGACAACGGAATCCCCACCCCAACCCCAACTCCCACCACGTGGGAGCGCCCAGGCGCCCAGTCCATGGACACGGACTGTCCCTGCACTGCGTGTGAGCCAGGAGGACAGACACCACAGGGTTGTGATAAAAATATATACGGAGAATGGCCCACGGGGGGCTGGGCACAATCCCGCCAATTCCATGGACTCGTTCCGGGAAGCTCCTGGGCTTTCCAGGCTCACATCAGAGGGTTTCTAAGTGAAATGCCAGTCCTGGCCCTCACCGGATCTTTGGCTAGCTTGAGCATACAGCCACAAAGGCCCACGGGTGCCACCTGGGCAAAGGCAGCAGGACAGCCAGGGCTTGCGGGACTCCACGCCGAAGGCTTGCTGGGACTGCAGGTGCAGCAAGAAGCTCCCACCACCAGGACGCCAGCCCTCGGTCACCACCGCACGCTGCTCCTGGCCCAAAGGGCAGCAGGAACACTGCAAGGCTTCCAGCGACCCCGAGGCCCGACAGCAGATGTCCTTGTCTAACCACGGCGTCTTCAAACCCGGATCAAGGGAGCCTCCACCGCTTCATCGTTGGTGACATTTAATCAGACAGCCCAGTGGCGTCTTAAATATCACCCATGGCGTATGAGGCCTTCCACTCGGCAATCAATGGAGTGGCTTGTGTGTGGGGCAGCTGGGTGGGCTCTGGGCATGTTGCCCCTGGGATCTGGGGCTGAGATCCTCTTGGATGGCGGCTGGGCCAATGCAGCGAGCAGGAGGGTGGAGAGCCAGGCCAGGTCAGGACTGCAGCGTGCCCGAGGGGCTGCGCAGGGCTCGCCTACAGCTCACATGGAGGCCAGCTCCAACCAATGGAGTAGCCAAGAAAGGGAGGCGGGGGGAGCCTCTGGTTCTGGCTCCAAACGGCAGGACGATGGGCTCCCCCACTTCACAATGAAGACCTGCACTGTGGGAGCAGGACCCCAGGGAAGAGAGGGAGAGCACCCTCCTGTGACAGTGGAGAGCCACGCAGGCGTCCTGCTCCCAGAGGCCTCCTGGGGCCACCATCACGTTGGACATGCCATGACACTGGGAGAGCAATGCCGGGGACAGCCAGAGCGTGGGAAGAACCAGTGGCCCTCTAGTCCTGGGAAGCGACTGGCCAGAGTGCCCTGCCAAGGCGCCCTTCACACCTCCAGCGTGGCGAGCCTCCACTCGTCACTCCGCTCACACCAGGAGCCTGGCTCTCCAAGGACGCCACCCCTCGGGAGAGGGCAGATGGGATCTGCCCACACAGAACCAGAACCACGGAGCGAGGAGACCTGGGGCTCCCCGGAGCTGGCCTGGCCAAGCATCCTGGTCTGAGTCCTGAAGAAACCCGGACATGAGGAGGGGAATGGCCGCCAGGACCGCTCAGGGTCCATGTGCAGGAGAAAGGGCAGGTGAAAGGGCAGGTCTGTGACTCCATTGCAGACACCACCACCCTCTCTATGCATCCCGGCCTGTGTCCCCTAATACACACCTCCCAGCCACCTCCAGCACCAGCTCCCGCTCGTGGGCCAGCTCCCTAAGGGACGCCTGGCCACACGGTCCATCCCCCACGGCCACCGCCAGACACACGCAAGTGCAGGATCCACCCTCACTCCTCCCCTGCCTCTCCCGGAACCATGTGTTGAACACAGAGGATGAGGTGTTGGGTGGGATGGCTGGAGGAAGGCTATCAGAATCCCCTGCTGGTGCCCCAGGCTCCCACCGGGCACCGTGAACCTGTGCAGTGGGGGGGCTCAGCAGCACTGCCAGCCCTGGAGCTGCCACGTTTACAAGGAGCTCACGGCTCAGCTCAGCACCTCTCAGAAACTGCCCACCCTCAGCTTCCGGGCTCCTGTTCTCAAGCCCCAATAACCCTGTTAGGGTCTGCCTTAGGAAGTTTATTGCCTGGGTCTCCTGTTCCTGGCTTCCCTACCTCAGAAACAGGCTACAGAAACCCCTCCTGGCTCCTCAACTAGGCGCGTGCTCCTCAAGTTCCCGAGAACCCATGCTCCAAACTCCCTGGTTCGCTGGGGCCAAGGAGCATGTACCACAGCTCCCCCCGCCTTCCCCCAGTGCTCCTGCCATTTCTCCACCTCTTGGCCCAGACAACTGAGCAGCTGGTCCCTGTCGCCAGACCCCTGTGGCCATCCGACCTCCCGGGTACACCTGACCCACTAGGCGCGTGGCTCCTGAGGTGGACTCATGCGGGTCTGTGCCAGCTCCCCTCGATGCCCAGCTCCTGCATACCCTGCGTGCCCAGCCTTAGGACCAAGCCAGGCACACAGCAGGCCCTCGATAAATGCCTAACAGGGAACGGGGGAAAGTGCCAAATAGCAACTCCTTGTCACCAAAAAGCCACCTTACCAATCGTCAGGGTGCCCTCATTGGGCACTTACGGCCTGCCAGGCCCTGTGCCAAGCTCTGAACACACTGTATGTGCCCTCACGCTCACAACAGCCCCAGGACGTGAGGGAACAGGACGAGGCTATTCCTGGTCCTGTTTCACAGGAGAAAGGACAGAGGCTCAGCACGTTTTTTAAATTTGCTCAAAGCTCACAGCTACTAAGTGGTGAAGCAGGATGCAAACCCAGCGCCGTCAGACCCAGAGCCCATTCTTCCTCCAGCCTGGACGGCCCAGAGCTCAGTGCGGTGAGCCTCCCTGACGGCCCCATGGCCTGGTGAGACGGGGTGGGGCTTCCTGTAGAGGCAGGACTGCGCTCTTACTCCAAGGCCCCGAGCCTACACCTGTGAGTGATGAGCTCCTTGGGCCGTTCTGTTCTTGGGCTCCGTCATCGCCGGGAGCTGAGCGCAGCGTAAGCGAACGATAACCCTGCGCCGAGCGAACGAGTGAATGGGTGAGTGGATGGGCGGATGAATCCTTGAATGGGTGAGTGGGAGCGGATGAATGGGTGGATGGGTGAGTTCGTGAATGAATGAGTGGGCGTGAATGAATGAATGAATGGGTGGATGGATGATGATTCTTCAGCGTGTCCAAGTCCACGCTAGCCTTTTTGACACCCTTTCTGCAGGCCTTGGGTCATAATCCAAGGGGCCCCCGGGAGTGCAGAGAAGGGAACCACAGCCCCTCGGGGCACCCCCACACCCCCCACGCCCCGGCGCCCGGCTCCTACCGGCACAGGTGGTCGGTGCGGCACACGCTGCGGAGGTCCAGGCAGTTGGGCTTCTCCTTGTCCTCGTAGGAACAGCTGGGCAGGATGGTCTGGCGGCGGCGCTCGGCGCACGCCTGGTCCTGGCAGGAGCAGAAGAGCATGCGGTAGGTGTACTCGCTGGGCACGCGGTCGAAGAACTGGCGCAGGGCCTTGTGGCACTTGCGGCGGTTGCAGCGCTCGCTGGGCGAGATCTCGCGGTTGCAGATGGAGATGTAGGAGGACCGCAGCTTCTTGCAGTTGTCGTTGAGGTTGCAGGCCTTGGCGGCGTCCAGGCAGTGGTTGCTCTTGGTGCTGACCGCAGGGTCTGCTCCTGTCCCTGGAAGGGTGGAGAGGGCGGCTCAGAGTCCGCACGGGCATGGGAGGATGCAGCCGCTCACCACCAGGAGACCCCTCCCAGCACCCAACGTCAGCGTCGACTCCTGGCCCTGCCACTGAGAGCCGGGGGCCTTGGGCCTTGGCCCTCCTTCCCCGCACAACAACTGGGGGCATCACCAGATGGGCACTACCACCTCTGTGCGCGATGCCACCATCTTTAATTTTAAGAGACCTCCTGTGGCCAGGCGGTGGCGTCCCTGTTGTCAAATACTGGGTTACCCCACGCCACCCATCCGGGCACTGCCTCTGTAATTTTGAATATATAGGTCAGTACCACTTAAACCGATATCTAATTAAAATGTAGCCCTCTGAGAGGCGAGCCCATGTGGGGTTCCAGGTCCACATTGGAGACCTTCCTGAGTCCACACTGTGCCATCCTGTAGCCATACAGGAGGGCCTGGGTTCGGAGCCCGGCTGGTTGGAAGGCTGCAGGGAGGATCGCGGCATGGCAGAGCCTCCTCGGGTCCTTCCTCCTCTCCTCTCGCTAAATAAATGAGTATACTCAGGGGGCTCGTGTGAGAGGACTGCCTCGTACTGTACCTCTACAGCCATACATTCCAGAGAAGGGAGAGGAGAGGCCAGCGGCTGGCGGGGTCTGGGGCGGAGCGGAGAGTGGGCAGAGCACACAGGGTACTCGGGCAGTGAGACTACTCTCTGTGACACTGCATGACACTGTCACACGGCGAGCGGACTGCAATGAAAGCCAGGGGCTGCAGGGGACAGCGACATGTCTGTGGAGGCTCTTCCACTGCAGGGGGAATAGCGCCCAGAGCCAAGCAGGGCAGGCTGTGTAAGTGCGGGCGGGGTTATGTGGCTCTGCACCCGCCTCTCAGTTCCGTGGTCCAAAAGCTGCTCTAAATAAATTAAGTTGTTCTTTAAAAATGAGAGTGGCAGGACCAGCAGTTAGTGTAATGGCTATGTCGCTGGACTACCATGTAGTCAACCACGGTTCATGTCCCGGACCCGGTGGTTTAAAACTCACTCTGGGCACATGTGCGTGCGTGCCCAAGATCCTGAGAGGAGAATGGAGGAGAAGGGATTGCAGCGTGGCCATCCCCCCTGGGGGGGTGATTTCTCACTTTCTGTCTCTCTGTCTCTCTCTGTCTGTCTGGTGAGCGCACACACCCTATAGCAAAAACCTCTCCAAAAAAAATTTTTTTAATTTAAAAATTAAAAACATAAATAAATAAATTAAAATGAAGGTGGGCAAATGAAGGTGGGTGAGGCTTGCTCTCCTGATCAGTCAGTGGCCATGCCTTTCCTGAGGGCCTCCTATGTGCCAGGTACATCCCCAGAAGCTGCCTGAGACAGAGCTGGGACTGAGGCAGAGCCCTGCCAACGCCTGGTCCTGGGTCAGAGAAGTTGGGGGCAGAGGAAGGAAAGCATCCTGCCCAGACCGGGGATGGTGAGAGCAGGGCTGTCTCTGGTCCGAGGAAGCCAAGAGAGCAGAAGGGGGTCCCAGGTAGAGGGAAGGCCAGGGCACAGGCGGGAGGAATGGAAATTGCTTCAGTCTTCCTAGAGACGGGTGCAAGAGCATGCAGGGGAGCTACACAGGGAATGTCGGCCATGCCTGGGTGTCTGGGCCCTCAGCAATTGCCCAAGCTGCCACCAAACCACCTGCCCAGGTAGGCAAGGACCTGAGGCCCCATTCAGGCCTTGTTTCCACAGGCTGGGTTCTCCCAGATCACCCCTCCCGGGCACCTGTCAGACATGGGCCGGGGGCCCAGGTGGCAGACGAGTGGCACGGCTTGGGAGGAAGTGAGGGCAGGAGCCCAGAGGCTTCAGAGGGGCAGGGGAAGGTGCCCACCACCAGTGCCACAGCAGCTCAGCGAGGCTGCGGCTGCCCGGCTCCCCAGGTGCGCGTTCCGCTCCCCTCAGCGTGTTCCCGAGCTAATGCCGGTGTAATTATAGCCTCGTGGCTTCCGTTCGGAGCTTGAGTAGTGAAAGCTTTTGCTAGAGGGTGGGAAATGTAAACCCCTGGGCCAAAACTTGGTAAATTTCCTAGAACAAACAAAGAAGCCCTCAAGTAAGGCGGCAGCAGTGACAGCACTGCTCCTTCTCCTGAAGACGCCCTCTCTGACCCTCCCAGGAACAGGACAGTGGCCCAAGATGGGGGCGCTGCCCTTGGGGACAAGCCCAGGAGCTGGCCCAGGCCCTCCCCAGGCAGCCCACTGCATGGGTGAGCCGCTCGTTTGGGGCGCACGCGAGCCATGGGTAACCACCCACCCTCCTGGGCCCACCTGCTGCCCTTCCACCCCCACGAAGTCCCCTGAGGAGTGGGAAGAAGGAGGTGGGGGATTCCAAACGCAAGCCTCATCAGCTGCCTTGGGAAACAGTCCCTGCACTAAAATGCACAAAGAGGGGCCAGTCCGTGGCCAAGTGGTTAAGGGAGCTAGATCCCACATGGCTGACTGCACGGTTCAAGTCCCGGACCCAGCATCTTCAGAGACATATGAGGCGCATGTGTGTGCATACCGAAATCCTGAAAAAGGGAGAAACCGGAAAAGGGACTGTCGCATGACCACGCCCTGCCAGGGCTGCTTTCTCTCTCTCCTTCTCCCTCTCTCTCTGTCTCTGGCCAGCACATGTGCCATTTGACTCCTTTTTGTAAGCTCTAAAATGCACAAAGGGCAGGGATGAGAATTGAGGGACTCCAGATCCCTGTACTCACCCCTAATGCAGGACTCAGGGGAAAGAAATTCACCCCAGGGCTGGGCTGCCCCAGGAAAGCCATCAGGACATGCATCCCAGCTCCTAGGTTCCCACTCCCAGCCCACATGGGCCTTCTCGGGCTGCTGAGAGACAGGCCAGGGAGTAAACAGTGATCCGCTGCCCCAGGGACAGGCCAGGGAGTAAAGACGACCCGCTGCCCTAGGGACAGGGCAGGGAGGCAGCATTTAACAACCTGGGCACTTCCCGGCACACAGCAAATTCACCCTCCCAGCCTGGTCCCAGGGGCAGGATGCTCTCTGGCTTTTCTCCCTCCCTTCCTCTCCCTTGGGAGCAGAACTTCTCAGCCTCACTGTCCTGCCAGCCCAGTCGGCCTTCTCTCTTCTCTCCTTGGCCTGTGGCCCATCTGCCCTGCCCGGTGTCCCCAGACAGTGGGGCACCCAGCAACAGGCACCGGGCGTGTGAGCACTCTCCGCAAGGACTCGCTTTAAGCATGTTTGGCATTTATAAGGCACTGGGTTACCCCACGCCACCCATCCGGGCACTGCCTCTGTAATTTTGAATATATAGGCCAGTACCACTTATACCGATATCTAATTAATTTATTTAAATCCCTTAATTCATTGACTCATTTTTTGCTATTTTGCGTTTAACTTAACCACCGTACACCCTCGCAGCGTACAGAAGATTTCCATAGCATGAATACAATGCATACTGGTCCAGTCCAAGACCGCCCCTGCGGAGAACAACGTGGAGGCTCCTCAAAAACCTACGAACAGAACTACCTCACGAGGCAGCAGTTCCACACCGGGCTATCTACCCACAGGACAGAAAAGCACTCAGCTGGAAAAACACTTGCACGCATGCTCACTGCAGCATTATTGACAATTGCTAAGACACAGAATCAACCCAAATGTCTAAGAGCAGATAAATGGATTGAAAAAATGTGGCACACTGACTCACTTTTTTGTAAGTTTTCCAATCCCTACCTAGATTAGTCCTAGGTAATAACATCTACTTTGTTCAGAAGTTCCCTCACCCCTGCTGTTAGACCACGAGGACTGCACCGTGCCGTCTCCCACCCCAGCAGTGACACACCGCACTCGGGGCAGAGGGCTGCGCCAGGTCCCTGCCTTGCACCAGCTCCCTGAGATTGGGGAAGGCCACCTTCCAGAGGTAGAGAATGGATACTGGGGGACAGGCTGAGCTGCCCTGGCCATTGCCCAAACACACCTCCCACCGCATTTGCCACCCAGCCCTGTGCAGAAGGAGGATCCTGGCACCCTGTTGTCATATACATGCCCTGGGGTTCCCCTCCCCCCAACCGAAAAGCTCATCAGGGTAGACGTGCAAGCCTGTCCCTCAGGAGCAGAGGGAAGCCGCTCACGAGTCTGCGATGTGAGCAACCTCTTCACGAAGTTCATGAAAAATGCATATCATAAAAAAACTATGCAAGGATTTCAAAAATATTCTGCACCAAAATGAACTTGTACTATAACTCCATTTTTCTGCACATTTTTTAAAGCTTGTTTATTTTATTCATGATAGCATGGGTGTGCCACCGGAGGAGGGGGAGAGGGCTCTCCCCGCTCTCTGCTCCCCCATGCCTAACCATCCAGATCTCGGGTACATGCGCATGTACCCAGTGTGCATGCAGACCCATCCAGGATCAGAACCCACAGTGTGCCATGTGGCTTCCAGCATTGCAGTGCAGTTTGCTACACATCACTCCACCAGGTCGGGCCTCCACAGACTTTCCGAAGTCCTCTTAGACTTCACCAGCTACAGGCCAGGCCCCAGAAATTCAGCCACGGACAGCAAGAAAGCCCCTGATCTCCACCGGCTTTATCAGGGGTCTTCCAAATGCGCTTGGAAATGCATATTATGAAAAAACTACGCATGAATTCCAACATTTTTTGTATGAAAATAAGCTTGTGCTTTGATTCGTCTTTCCATGAATTTGCTGAGTCCCCGCATAGTCTAAACCCATAAACAAGCAAGAGGTCGTGGAGAGCGAATGTGCGCTGTAAGAAAACAAGAAAATTCAGGCGAGAGCGACTTAGGGGAGAGGAGGCCTCCCTCGGGAGGAAGATGGGCAGGAGTGAAACACATCCAAAACCCAAGGGGTGAGGATCCCAAGCAAACGAAGACAGGTGCGAAGGCCCTGAGCCAGCCGTGAGCCTGGTGGTTCATAATCCTAGGACGCTGGGGGGCTGGGGCTTCCTGATGGATCCAGCCCAAAGTTAGGGGAGAAGCAGAGGCCATTCAGGG